TCAAAAAAAAAAAAAAAAGACGAAAGATTGATATGATCTGAAGAGAAACCAGAGTATAACAAAATACTTTAAACCGGGAAACCCACACATCACAGAAACTTAGCGCTCACAGCTCTGGAGACCGGGACGCCCAGGACTGAGGTGCCGAAGACTCTGCTGTCCGGCAAGGCCGCTCCTCGTCGCCAGGACCTTCTCTCTGCATCTTCCCATGGCCCAAGGGGGAAACAGGCTCCTCTAAGACTCTGGCCGGGCATGGTGGCTCGCGCCTATAATCCTAGCACTTTGGGAGGTTAAGGCAGGAGGAGAGCCTGAGCCCAGGTGTTCAAGACCAGCCTGGACAACACAGTGAAACCCTAGCTCCACACTAAATAAAAATATTCACCGGGCATGGTGGCGCATGCCTGCAGTCCTAGCCACTCGGGAGGCTGAGGTAGGAGGATCACTCGAGCCCAGGAGTTCGGGGATGCGGTGAGCTATGGTCACACCACTGGACTCCAGCCTGGGTGGCGACCGAGTGAGCCCCTGTCTCTGAACAAACAAGCCTCTTTAATAAGGACCCAAATCCATTCGTGAGCCCCGTGATCATCTCCCATAGGCCCACCACCCAAGAGCACATTGGAGAGCAGGTTTCGACATATGAATTTTGGGGGACACACATTTGGACCTTAGAAGTGGGGGATGAGGAACCCAGTCAGATATTGAGAGGGAAGGATCTCACTAAACCGAATTAGCAGGATTCTTGCTAAAACCGGATGATGCAGGCTGGGAGGGACCACGCACAGCAGGGGCTGAGTTGGACAGCCCCGGCCTCCTGCCCGGCGGCCTGCTCCAGTGTTCCCCAGGCTGCTCTGGCCAAAGCCCTCCTCGCAAGATGCACCGAAGTCCTCACTCATGACCCCAGACAGTGGTGAGAGCCCTGGAGATGAGAGGAACGCAGGGGAGGAGAGGGGAGCTCATGTGGGCAGTTCTACATTTCTTTTTTATTTTGAGAGACTCTGTCACCCGGGCTGGAGTGCAGTGACGTGTGCATAGCTCACTGCAGCCTTGACCTCCTGGACTCAGGTGATCCCCCTGCCTCAGCCTCCTGAGTAGCTGGGACTACAGGTACATACCACCACACTCGGTTAATTTTTGCATTTTTGGGGTTGACGAGGGTTAGGGTTGAGGTTGCTATGTTGCCCAGACTGGCCTCAAACTCCTGGGCTCAAGTAATTCTCCCGCCTCGGCCTCCTGAGTAGCTGGGACGACAGGTGTGCACCACCATTCCCGGCTAATTTAACATTTTTTCTCGAATCTGAAGGCCCTTGTGTTGTCTGAGATGGGACGTCAGGCCAGCAGTTGGACACATAGAGCTGAGCTCCGCGGCAAGGCCTCGGGCTGGGAACCGCAGCTGCAAGTGTGGACCGAGGCCCCTGAGGCGGAGAGGGCGGGCTGAGGGGACTCGGGCCAAAGCGGACCCCCAAGGCCAAGAGGAGGGACAGCCAGAGAGGAGACGAGATGGGGGGTTAGTTGTTTTTGTCTTTTGTTGTTGCTGTTTGGAAGTGGGAGTCTCACTCTGTCGCCCAGGTTGGGGTGCAGTGGCATGCTCACAGCACCGCAGCCTGGACCTGCTGGGCTCCGGCGATCCTTCTGCCTCCGCCTTCCGAGTCGCTGGAACCACAGGTGCACACCGCCATGCCCGCCTAATTTTTTGACTTGTTATAGAGACGAAGTCTCGCCAAGTCGGCCATTCTGGTCTCGAGCCCTGGACTCAGTCAGTCCTATCGCCTCTGCCTCCCAGAGTGCTGGGATCATAGGCGTGAACCACTGTGCCCAGCTTTGGCTACGGCTTTAAAACATGGCCTGGAATCTGGGGTGTCCCTGGTCTGGGGAAGAGCTCTCTGCCCTTCCCCTACCCTGGGCCATCTGGGCAGGTGGGGGACTCGCCTGCAGCCATGGGGTGCCACTCAAGGGGGGGCGCAGGAAGACTTCCGAGGCTGGGCCGACATCGCCCCAGCAGCTGCGTCCAAGCCCTGGGGCCGCCATGCAAGGAGGCCCGAGCCTCAGGGAGAAGCCAGGCTCAGGCACCCTGGGCGGGGGCAGCACAGGATGGCATCTGCCCGACGCCTAAGTGACGACGCCTCCAGGCGGCCCCCACCACCAGCGCAGCCCAGACGCTGGGAGCAGTGGCCCTGTCCTGTGTGCGCCATCCTGCCCACGACTCGAAGCAGCCGGGTGTGCCAGGGTGGAGCGGGCAGGTGCTCGGGTGCAAGATGGAGATAACGCCCTCAGCCCTCAGGCGGGGCCCGCCCCACGAGAAGCCCCTCCGGCTCTGCACCCCAGCTCCCACGTGCCTCCCTTGCCACGTGCTGACCCCCAGGAAGGCGACGGAGGCTTGCATCACCGGCTCTGGGGCTACCTGTCACTCAGCCGCAGACGGCCGGACCAGCTATGGAAACCCAAGCTCGAGGCACCAGAGCGGCCAGTGTGGGCCACGGGACCAGGCACTCCAGGGGTAACGGAGGCCTAGAAAGGTCCACTTCAGCAAAGTGTGTGGATGGTGAGGAGTGGAGCCGGAGCGCGGACAACCCTGAGGGCTTTGGGGGTTGAAGCTGGGAGGGAGACCGGCAGAGAGAGGTGTGTTGGTGTCATGAAGGCTTGAGCCGGCCTGGGGGATGCCGGAAGCCCCTGTAAAGAGAGGCCGGTCATGCACAGGCCAGGGGCGGGCGGCGGGGGCAGGAAGCCGGAGGCATGAGGAGGCGGGCCCAGAGGACAGGGCGGGCAGCTCCAGGTGGATGGAGGTTCACGGGGTGAGGACGGGAAGAGGGCCCGGGTCTATGGCAGGACACCTGGGACACTTGGGGTTTGGCCTCCCGGCTTCCTCCGCCTTCCCACGCCCCTTTCTCTGGAGCCCACGTCTCTCCCGGGCAGTCCTGGGTGGAATGGGGACGTGCGCTCTTGGAAGCCAGGCGGACTGGGGGCTCCCCAGCTGGACCGGCTGGCCCAAGACTCAGCGGCCTGACTGTCCGTCGGTGAGGTGGGACCACAGATGGGGGTCTGCCTGCGGGGCCCCACCCTACGTGAGTCCCACACAAGGTCAGGGTTCCGGCCCGAGTGGGGGTAGACGCAGTGAGGCGCTGGCCCGGGGGTGGGCAGGGAAGGATGGCTTCAGGGAGCGCCCGGGCCCCTAGGAGGGGGGAACTTGAGAAAAGTGCCAGATTCCCCGAAAGGACCCCTGTGGGTGACGGGAAAGCCAGGCCTGGTCTGAGCTGGGGGAAGGGAGACCTGCAGCCCCCCAGCCAGGCCCAGGCCGCAAAGGCGGCACAGCTGCTTCCTGGCACGGGGGCAGTTAAACCACAAGCAGCTGCAGGCCTGCCTCCTTACTTACCTCCCCTCGGGGGTCTCTGCCCACACCCTGCCGGCCACCCCGGGCCCTGGCGGGTCCTGGGGGACCGCCTGTCTTCTCGGCTGCAGCGACTGTTTTGAGCAGGCCCACCGCGGAGCCTGGAGGCCGAGCTCTGCCACATGGTCATGGGATTAGGTCCTGGTGGGGCAGGGCTCTCTTGGGTCCCCACTGCACAGCAAAGAGGACCCCGGGATGGTGGGAGTCAGGCTTGCCTTGCCTGAGGGCATCCCTGCCGGCTGATGCCCAGCACTCTACGGTGTGGCTTCCAGGCTCCAGCACTTCCTCTGTGCCAAAGACACACCTGTTTACCTGCCCACAATGCCTGCGGAATGTGGGGAGCCTCCTGGTCCAGGACACGGCAGCCCAAGCCTGCTGGTAGCTCACTGTCAGGCAGGGAGGCAGGGAACAGAGGCGGTCAGCCAGGCAGGGGTTCACGCCTGCAGTTTCAGCACTTTGGGATACTGAGTGGCCTGACGGCTTGAGGCCAGGAGTTTGAGATTTCCTGGGCAACACAGCGAGACCCCTGTCTACAAAAAAAGAAAAACAAATTAGCTAGGCATGGTGGTATGCACCTGTAGTCCCAGCTCCACCAGAGGCCAAGGCAGGAGGATTGCTTGAGCTGAGGAGTTGAGGCTGCGGTGAGCTATGAGGGCACACTGTGCTCCAGCCTGGGCGACCCCGTCTCTGAAAGCAGAAGGAGGCGGCAAATAAGGAGAGGGATACCGCTTCAGGGGATGGCAAGTATTGTGGAAAACCAGAGTGAGGCGATGGCCAGGTCCAGGGCTTGGGGCACCGGTTTCAGTAGCCAGGAAGGAGGCCACAAGGACAAAGACCAGAACAGGGCAAAGGAGCCACGGGACCTCCCGGGGTTCCCACACTGGAGACAGCCGTGGAGAGGCCCTGAGGCGGGGCCAGGTGGATGCCTTCAGCAGCTGGGAGGGTCTGGGTGGCGGGCTGGGGTGACCTGGGGAAGGGTGCAGACCTTGTAGAGCTGGCATCCTCCGTGTGGAGTTGGAGTGGGCTGAGCAGTGTCCCAGAACACACGTCCACCAGGGCCGAGGGTGGGGCCTTATTTGGAAGCAGGGTCTTTGCAACAGGATGAAGGTAAGGACCTGGGGATGAAATCATCTGGGCTGGGATGTCCTTAGAGGAGACAGAGAAGATGGCCACGCAGAGGCAGGGGCAAAGGCTGGAGGGATGTGGCCACAAGCCAAGGATGCCTGGAGCCCCCAGAGGAGCTCCTGGAGGGAGTGTGGCCCTGCCCTCAGACTGCTGGTCTCCAGAACTACATGAGAATACATTTCTCTCTCTCTCTCTCTCTCTCTCTCTCTCTCTGGTGTGTGTGTGCGTGTGTGCGCGCGTGTGTGCTTAGAGACAGAGTCTTGCTGTGTTGCTCAGGCTGGAGTGCAGTGGCACAATCAAGGCTCATTGCAACCTCAACCTCCTGGGCTCAGGTGATCCATTGGCCTCAGCCTCCCCAGTTGCTGGGACTACAGGCGCACATCACTACACCTGGCTAATTAAAAAAAATTTTTTGTAGAGATGCGGGCTTGTGATGTTGCCCAGGTGGTCTCAAATTCTGGGCTCAAGCAAACCTTTCGCCTCAGCCTGGCAAGCCCAGGAGGAAGAAGGCCTCAGGAATCTCCCTTCAGCCTGTCAGCGAGGCAATGGTGGCTGCAGTTGCTCCACTACTGTCGCAGCTGGCCAGGATGCAGGACTGCTGGGCCTCCTCCCAGGAGACGACGAACGTGTCCTTCCAGCCTCACTGCCCGGCATTCCACGTCGCAGACACTTGGCCCTGGGCTCACACGGGGACCCAGGCTGATCCCGCAGCTGCGGGAAGAGGCTGTGTGAATCTAACACACATATCATGGCGGCCACGCGTGAACGGCTACGCCCAACTCCAGAGGAGACAGGAAGAACCCGCATACCTGGAAGGGGGAGACGGGAGATACTGGGCAGACCACCCCAGAACTGCCTGGTGGCAGGCAGGACTTGAATCCAGTGTCCTGCTGTGGACAGCCCTCTGAGCCGTGTGGCTGAGAAAATCCAGGCTCAGACAAGTAAGAACAAGATGCCACCTGCAGGCACAAAAGCAGAGGAAAGACATGCACACACAATTGCTTTGATGTAAATCTTATTTTTTGTAGAGATAAGTTCTCACAGCATTGCCCAGGCTGGCCTTGAGTCCCTGACCTCAGGCAATCCTGCCACCTTGGCTTCCCAAAGTGCCAGGATTACAGGCGTGAGCCACTGTGCAAGGCCCATGTTACTGCTCGAATGATGGAAGATCCGAGGAAGACAGGTGAGACATCAGCACGGAGGTGACCCTGGGAAGGTCAAGGGGTGAAGGGAGACCTTTAACTTTATGATTTTTTTTTTTTAGAAAGCAGGGTTTATTGCGAGGACAGAAAAGCTCTCACAGTGGGAGGGGACCCAAAGGGGTTGCCCAACTATACGATCTTTTATAATTTCGTCTTTCCACTCCTGTCAGTGTTTCATCTATGAGAGAGAGAGAGAGAGAGAGAGAGAGAGAGAGACACTATTCTAAGAAAATAATCAGGCAAGGTGTAGTGGCTCATGCCTGTAATCCCAGCACTTTGGGAGGCCGAGGTGAGAGAATTGCTTGAGCTCAGGTTTTTGAGACCAGCCTCAGCAACTTGGCAAGACCTCGTATCTACAATATATCAAAAACTTAGCCGGGCATGGTGGCATGCGCCTGTACTCCCAGTTACTTGAAAGGCTGAGGTGAAAGGATTGCCTAAGCCCAGCAGGTTGAGGCAACGGTGATAGTGAGCATGCCATTGCACTCCAGCCTGGGCGACAGAGTGAGACTCTGACGCAAAAAGAAAAAAAAAAAAAGAATCAAATCTCTCTTCGTTTCCTGCTTGGGTAGCCGGCTGCCTACCTGCTGGAGTCCCGAATCAGTTGTCCTCTGTCCGGTGGGTCAGTCAGTCAGTGGCTGAGACAGGCTGTGATGGGGCCACTGCCTGAGCCCTGCCTCAGTGCCAGCCTGGGCCTCTGACGGTGGCCTTTCTTACTCTGTGCTGGAGCTCTCACCCTGGGCCAAGGTTTTCATACTGTCAGAACCTTCCAGAGTGGGACAACACGACCAGGGGGGCCCCCCCAACACTTGGTCCTGGCCCTCCCTTCTGTGCAGGCCAGAGGAGCCAGGCATCCTCTGAGACCCCAGTGCTGACACTCTGAAGAGTGACCTCAAATGCATATGTTAAGGTCCTAGCCCTCAGGACCTCAGGATGGGACTGAGTTTGCAAACAGGCCCTTTAAAGAAGAAATTAAGGCCAGACGAGGCCGTGAGGGTGGCCCTGATCCCATGAGAAGATGAGGACACAGACGTGCCCAGAGGGAGGACCCTGCGTGCACACAGGGGGAAGACGCCTCTGCAGCCGAGGGGCGGGGCCTCAGAGGACTCGGCTGAGACGCCTCCATCTTGGGCTTCCAGCCTCCGGGCTGTGAGGAATAAACATCCGTGGTGGAAGCCTCCCGCTGTGGGCTTTGGAATGGCGTCCTGAACCAAGATGGGAGCAGGTCTTCAGGGAGGTCTGGGGACATGTGTGAAGTGCAGCTCCCAAGTTGCCAGGCCCCCTGGACTCGCAGCTCTGGTCCAGGCTTAGCTGGCTCTTGCCAGACGACCCCAGGCTGAAAGGCCTCGGAGGGTCCTGGAAGCCTCCAGAGGAGGCCGGCGCGGGGCAGTTTCTGCTGGAATTTGGTCCCGGTCAGGAGGGCCCCTTCCCATGGTCTTTCCAGAACCGTCTGTGTGTGGCTGCAGCAGCCCAGCTCCACCCACCCCACAGGAAGGCTTGAAGTGAGGTCTTCGCCACCACCCAGGACAGCCCCTGCTGGGGAAGGCCAGAGGAAGCGGGCAGAAGTTGGGTGCACAGGACGCATCTCTTTCTTTCTTTTGATTTTGTCGAGACAGGGTCTCGCCATGTGGCCCAGACTGGGCAAACTCCTGGCCTCAAGTGGTCCTCCCTCCTCAGCCTCCCAAAGTGCTGGGATCACAGGTAGGAGCCACTGTGCCCAGCCCAGAGGAGGCATTTTCTTGGGATCCACCCAAACGCACCCTCCAGGCTGCCCACCCCTCCCTATGTCCCCTCACTCATCT